AGTGGTAGCAGTAGTGGTACTGGTAGTGGTAGTGGTAGTGGTAGTGGTAGTAGTAGTAGTAGTAGTAGTAGTAGTAATAATAATAGTAGCAGAAACAGTGGAAATAATAGAAAAATACAAGCAGCAGGCCTCAACTTCATGGTCTTCTCGTTGTAGAAGCTGAAGATGTTGCGGAATTGCCGCGATCTCTCGTCGCTTCGGTCCGTGCCTCAGAAAACACCACAAAGCCACATGTTCGAAACTGGTTTGCGATCATGCATGCCGACAAGGAACCAATGATGGCGGAGAGCAGGTGTGGCACATGCTCGTGGCAGTAATCGGACCCATTGGGCGAAGACTGCCCGAGCCCATGGAAGTCCTCGGGTCAATCAGGCTTTGCAACATGAGTACTGTGACTGGCGTGGGCAAAAAATTGGACACGTAAACAAACAGCATGCCCGAAGACTGCTGGCAAGATGCGGACCACAGCTGCCGGTCCCTCCAGCCCAGCTTATAGAAGCACCAGGCCAAAGCTGGCATGGACTGCCAGAGCTCCTCGCTGGCCACCATCGCCTGAGTTGCCATGCTAGGGAAAGCTGCTGTGCACGCCCAGCGTGGTCGACAAGAACTTGTCTAAGATTCCAGGCCAAGGCTCCTGGTGGGGAGCACTCTCTCGGACCCCTTTATCGCCCTTGCGCGGAGGTCGGCCCGGATGCTCCTTGCCTGCCGGCACAGAGGAAACTATCTAATATGTTTCAATTGGATTCATCAGCTCCTGAGCTAAACAGTTAACGCAGTCAAGACTCGAAGCCAGTGCATGATATCTCGGACCAAATAGAACCACCGTTGGCCGCAAGTGCCGAGCTCATCGGGGTAGCGCAGCATGCGTCGGACCATCTTCTTCGTGAGGCCATCGCGCAGCTCCTTGAAAAGCATCGCGTTGCTTACTAACTCAGAAGCATGAAGACTCGTCACACTGCGTCACTTGAGACACTGCAAGAATCAGCATGTTTGCCCCGCCTTCTGGTCCGGGTGGTTGTGCAAGGTCAGGGCGAGCACTGCCTGCACGCAGCAAACCCTATCTCTGTGCATCGCGACGTGGCCATGAATCAATGATTAATTGAACTGCAGGCAGCCGAGGTGCGACCCAAGCCATTATGTCGGCCTCGGTCTGGTGGAGCACCCACGCCGCCTGGTAGTCCAGCTCCATGAGGCGGCTTCGGACCTTGTCATTCTCCCAAGAACGCTCGACTCGGTCCGGCTTATCCCGCTGCTGGTAGGTGGAGATGTCCAGAGTCGACCGCAAATCGGGCCTGTCCGTCCCCTCGATGCAAGCGTCCCGCATGAAAACCCAGGGGACGAAGCTGAAGTCCCCGTCAAAGGCCATGGCAGCGGAGGCGAATTTCGGGCCTTATTTCAGGACCTGCAATGTCAGCGGAGGCGAATTTCGGGCCTGTTATTTCAGGACCTGAAATGTCAGCGATGCCGTAGGCTAATGTCGGGCCTGTTTTGTCATGATGCCGTAGGCTAACGTCGGGCCGCGATGCCGTAAGCTATATAACCTCGGGCCTGTTTTTGTCATGTTTCTTGCAGACTGCACCCTTCGTGACATGGAATGCTGGAGACTGAGAGCTTCAAGCTGCGTGGCAAAGCAACACAAATAAAGCTTGCACATGAGCAGCATGATATGTCTGCACACCCCTGGCACGCGCAGCACAACAACAACAACAACAACAAGCACTCAAGACGACGTGGGCGCCTTCTCCGCAAGCTTCCTCGCCCATCGGACCATCGGAGACGCCGCCTGGCACGAGGGTTCAGGGTTTGTTTAGGGTTT